ACATGTAGGGCAAAGACCATCCTCCTCGTTGCGTTGCAGAAGACAGCAAAAGCCTAAACACAAAATGAAAGGTCAAGAATAAATTCTCGACTCAGGTACATTTAAAATGTAGGTAAGCTGTAGCAGAAGCTGTAATGCGCAGCATTTTATTCCATCACACCTCACAGAGAGCCCCCCCAAGAAAATCCCGCTCCACCTTCAGCTCGAACAGATTTGGAGACAGATGTTGACAGTCATTTCCATTTTACCACATCTGTTGGTCGACTTGTTTGACAACAATATCCCGGCTCGCGCCTCCTTTTTGTGACTGCTATTACGGACAGGTTTAGTGGACCTACTAGGTCACCCGGTGAAACGCTTATCCGTTATTTACACCGATTTTATACACTGTCAAATCTTGACTGCTCCAAACATTTAGTGACATCCCATTTGCTTTCCTTTCAGAATAAAGCTCTGTGTGCTCCTCGCCCCGCACTACATGTAACATGCCGATCACTGGCAGGGCAGATGATTCGTTTAAAAAAAAAAGATGCGTCGGTCAGCGATGCGCATTTGCGTTACAGCTTAGGCACAGAAAGACTGCGCGACATTTTGCACCACTGTCAAGCGAGATTTAGTGTGAAACCACTTCCGTTTGCAGCCTTCAAAGTAAAAACTCATTCACGTACCAGATGACAATTTTGAAGTCAATCTCAGCTTGATTTCCGTTATGCTCCGGATTTTTCTGTCATACTTGACAGCCATTTCTAGAGGAATCTTGCAAATGTTCGTGCGTGCGCGCGCGCTCGCGTAGTGTGGGGTGGTTGAAACTGAAATGTTTTGGGAGCACAGGCATTTCCTCATCAACATTACCTTCTATCCTCACTCTGGAGAACTGGGCATTGGAGACGCTGATGCTTTGTGCCATTAAAAGACTCTGCTATGTCCATGAGTCACAAGCAAAGCCAAAAATTACATTAACGCAGATAAATGAGATGCAGTGGAGAGGCTACTGTAATGCTACTGTAGACGTAAGCCCGTTGGCTGCTGTGTAGCAAATTAGCTTATGGTCAGGTGACCAGCAGAGGCGGGAAAAGTGAACAGGGCGACTAGTGGACAGGTGACGAATGACAGAGACACTGAGCTGGAGGAGGCAAGCAGCACCGACGTTACCATGACTAAAGGCACTAGTTTAGCTACATTGTGAGTAACTGCAAAACGTGTAAGTACCCCAACACTATGATTTATTTTAACCATATTGTTTAACTCTTGCATTTAATGAAAAGAAATCAATACTGACACACCTACCTCTATTTGACACTTTGTATAATGTTGCATAAATGAAATGTCAGAGTCACACATGATAATCAGTGTGGATAATATTGCAATCCACAGTCACTTACTGTATATGTGCACCTTTTAAAATGATCTAGAATTTGGAAGCTTCAATGTGCCTGTTTGTTGCTTTCCACTGTGGCCATGACGGAATCATATTGGCTCTGTGGGTTCCTGAACTGTTTATTTTGCTGGGCTGAGTATTCTGATCATATTAATCATTCAAACTGACTCCAAATGCACAGGGCCCAGATCTGCTGGACAGAATCTTTAAACAGAGGAAGTTAAAATAAGCGTTGCTCCAAATTCCTCCTTGCCCATCTCTGTTTGTCTCCTATCTTATCCCCTTGCTCTTGTCTCTCTGTCTCTCTCCCTCACACACACACACACACACACACACACACTGAAGTTTACTATTTGCCCTCTGCTGGTTGTCAGCAGTAAAGTAGACAGATTAATTTTAGTAAACTACCACCACATTATTGCAAGCAACAAAGTAAAAATTAACATTCCCTTAATACCATAGACATTTATTAAATTACACTCTGCTTTTTTTCTATTTCACTATGTAAAATCTTTTATGTTTTGTATTTGTTTTGTGAATTCATTTGAATCTTGATTTGAGAAGTAACTTAATGAAATGACTGCATAATCTTTAATTTGTCCTTTCCACATATTTCTTTCAAGCAATGAAGCATCTGTTTTTTGACTCCATGTGGTTTATCTGCTCAACCTGATGACAATGAAGAAATAAGAAAATGTCCAATACACAGTGCAGTTCTGTTAAATGCACACTAGAGAGCAGCACTGGATTACTATTAGAAAGACACAGAAAACACTTGTACTAATTGAAGTAGTTTAAGCACACAGTCTCTCACAAACACACACACACACACACTCTCTCTCTCTCTCTCACACACACACACACACACAACCCTAGATTTGGTCAGATGAGGGCTCATTTTTTTTGTACCTCTCTCTACTCTGCAGGATGCACCTGCAGGCCTCCTGTCTTTATTTAGCTTCATGTAAATTAAAAATTTAAGTGTCAGCTCTCTGTGGTGGAAACACACTGATGCTTCACTTATTAGCATTTGGTGAATAGTCAAGACAACAAATAGCACTTGTTACAAACTATATTTAACCAAAGGTGTCAGGGAACCGAAATTGGAAAAGAAAAAAAAGTTCTTGTAGTAACCTTTTGCATTACATTATAATACTAATTTCTAAACTTTATCAATTTAAAAATTGTTTAATTTAAATTTTGGTAGTTTTACACTCTTTATCTCAACATTCACATAGTCCTATATGTGCAGAAATATCAAACATATTGAAATGCTGACTGAATCAAAAAAAAGAAAAATACTTCATACAAATTCAGAATTTATTGATGTAATATTTGTAACTTACATTTAGATATATAACCAACATTTGAGGGTAACATAGGTTTTAACCGCAGCTCCTCCTCCTGTCAGTTACTCTCAGTTTCAGTGTCGTATTAAATTGCTCCTCCAGCACCTCGTCTCCTCATCCTCCAAACCCTCTCATCTGTCAGCAGTAAGCTCACTCTCCAAGTTACAAGGCCATTCTCAGCACACACTGACAACATGCTGGGGACGCTCTGCACTCTCATCACTGCTCTAACATGTAAGGAGGCTGACTTACTGCAGCTCTGACCTCATGTTGGATTCATCAGTCTGTGTGTTTCTCTTGACTCCATGTCATCTTGTTGTTTCCAGGTGTGAGTGGTGTGACGGTGGTGACACAGAAGCCTCCTGTTGTGACGCTGAGGAAAGGAGAGACAGCCACCATGGACTGTAACCTGGGGACTGTTACTGACTATCAAGCAGTCTGGTACAAACAGACTCCAGGAGGAGTTCCTCAGTTTGTATTATATTTTTACCATACAAACAGTGCTCCAACCTATGGCTCTGGTTTCTCCTCTCCCAAATTCACATCTAATCACCAGTCAACATCAGATTATCGTTTGATCATCAACAATGTGGAGGAGGGAGACTCAGTAGTCTATTACTGTAGCGCATGGGATAGCTCTGTTAACAAATGGGCATCACAGTGATTTACACTGTGACAAAAACCTCCTCACTGAACACTTCTGCTTTTCACCTACTGACACATGTTGACTGTTAGTAAAGGCATCATGGGGATGTTTTTTGTCATACCTGGGTATGTGCATGAAAAAATATAATTTTCAAATGTTTAATTATTTGGCTGGATTTTTACCTCAATCCTCAGAGCTATTTATGTGTATGTGCTTTATAGTAAATGTAAAATACTAAAACACAAGTCCTGTTCTATCAAAGCTTTTTAAAAATCATTGTTCACAAGATTTAATGTCACCTTTTGCACATGTGTTCTAACAAGGCTGTGTGTGTAACAGGTGAGTGTAGGAGCCAAATGCAGCACACAGTACAACAAAAACAGTTTGTAGAGACCTTTGTTTCAACCAAGGAAGAAACTGGAGGGGAAAAAACTGTTAGAAATCTTCCTGGTAGACCTGGAGACTCAGGCTGAATGAGCCAGAACAGGATCATGCAGACTAAGTCCAAAGTCACAAAAGCAGTTCTCAATGTTGGAACAGAAGGCTAAAGTGTTTTCCAAGGTTCAGACAAAAAGGGCAAGTCTGGGACAAACAGGTTCAGCAACAGGGAGTCAGTCCAAGAAATGCTAGAGAGTCTTGCATGGAGAAAAGCAAAGAACAATCTGGCAAACAACAATTTGGAGTCTGGGGTTTGTACACTGGGTGAGTGTAATCAGGAGCAGCTGTGTGACCAGGTGAACGGAGTTGGCTTGATGAGGTGGGCGTGGCTAATGCAGGGAGGTGAAGGAGAACAGGGTGAAAGGACATTTACCGACTGGGAGCTGTATGAAAGGGAATACCGAAATGAGGCAGGTGACCTGAGATGCAGAATCATGACAATGTGAGGCACTTTTTCAGAAAAGTCTTCTTTCTTGCCACCTTGCCTTACAGACCAACTTTATGTAAAGCTTGTGAGATTGTTGTCACATGCACAGACCGACCAGTCCCAGCCATAAAGACTTGTCACTCCTTCAGTGTTGCTGCTGTCCTCTTGGTGGCTTCTCTGGTAAATGTCCTCCTGGATCAGATGTCCAATTTCCATCGACAAGCCTGATCTAGGCAAAGTGTTAGTGGTGCCATTGGCTTTCCACTTCCTCATGATCGTCTGAATGGAACAAAACCAAACTTTTACAACTTTATCTCAGAAGTCTTTTGTAAGCACTTCCCAACCCATGGGGAATTCTTTACTGTACCATGCTCTACTAATAGTGGACTCTTCAAGAAAAAGCTGGTTTTATGCTGATTTAATCAAGACTAATTGATGTCAGGTTGATCAGTTAGTGTGGTGTTTGATTTGGAAGTTGATTGGTTTCGCCTGAGTAAGTTTATAATGACAAACTCTAAGGGACTGATCACTTAACCAAACCAGGAATTTCATGAGTTAATTTTTCATGCATTGTCCAGAATTTTTTTTTTTAAATGTTATTTTCACTTTGATCATGAGGGTTATAATCTGTACATGCGGCACAAAGAAGTTACACTTCATTTATTTTAGGTCCAGGGTGTAATCTGGCAAAAGGTCAAGATTTTCACAGTGTATGAACACAGAGTTGAGTGTCTAAGCTCCTCCTCCTCCACTTCTCCTCTCCTCAGTGTCTTTATAAGCTTCAGTCTCTCTTCTCCTCACACTCCAACCCTGCTCACCTCTCAGCTGGACAGTAAGGGACGTTTACACCACACACTGACAACATGCTGGGGACGCTCTGCACTCTCATCACTGCTCTAACATGTAAGGAGGCTGACTTACTGCAGCTCTGACCTCATGTTGGATTCATCAGTCTGTGTGTTTCTCTTGACTCCATGTCATCTTGTTGTTTCCAGGTGTGAGTGGTGTGACAGTGGTGACACAGAAGCCTCCTGTTGTGACGCTGAGGAAAGGAGAGACAGCCACCATGGACTGTAACCTGGGGACTGTTACTCTCAGTCCTGCCCGCTGGTATAAACAGATTCCAGGAGGAGTTCCTCAGTTTGTGCTGGTGTACTATCATGGCTGGTGGTCTGTAACTTACGGTGCTGGTTTCTCCTCTCCAAAACACACTTCTAATTATGAGAATGAATCAAGTTATCGTATGATCATCACCAATGTGGAGGAGGGAGACTCAGCAGTCTATTACTGTAAAACATGGGATGGCTCTGTTAATGAATGGGTATCACAGTGATTCACACTGTGACAAAAACCTCTCACTGAACACTTCTGCTTTTTGAGGTTCTGACATATTTTTACTATGTGAATATGTTCATATCACAATGATTTACACCATGACAAAAACCTCCACACTCAGTGCAGTCACTTCTGCTTTTTAACCCCATCAAATAAATGCAGAATCATCTATAAGATTCTCACCTTATTAATATTAATATGATATTATGGATGAATCTTCAATATTATTAAAGGAGATATTTCAATTCAAAGCAGTGTTTTGTAAAATAAACAGACTGATGAAGGGAATGAGATGTTGACAGTGAAAGTTGGTCTCAACAGCATGTTTCAGTTCCACTCCCCTCATCAGTGAGAGTCAGGAGGTTTTTGTACAGCCATGTGTACAAACTGAATCACTGTGGTATTCGGACAAGGCACCAAGCTGATTGTGACAGGTAAGTACTTTTGAACTGATCATTAAACAAAACACATTTTATGTTTCTGTTTCAGATCTTTATTATTTTGTTTCTTATTCAGAATTCCTTGAAAATAATTGAGTTATTTGTCAATAATTCTTTGAAAAATAATTAGTTGTTCAGTGGATAAATGATCTTAGTTTTTTCCCCCTCAGTACATTTTTTTATACTATATTTATCATATTTTTTTTATATGCCGGTCATTTCAAACAACAGTTTTTTTTTGTTTTGGTTTTTTTCCAGAGATTTTCCTGCTATATTATTTTACTGTAAATCGTAATCTCTTTCTATTGAAGTTATATTCTCATTGGTTTTTGTCTGAACAGTGTCCAACTATGAAGCTGTTTACTTTTAGAATATCATTTTGAACTGTGTCATGCTTAATCTTAAAATTATATTTTTTTCTTAAACTTTAATTTTTACAAAATATAATGCTTTGCTAAAAATCAACCAATAGTATTTGATTAAACTTCTTTCATGTTTTGTAGCACTGGAAAATAGTACTCTTATATGACAATTTTTATTCATTTAATCCTCTGTGCTTTTGAAATTATGTATTTTTATATTCATGAATATTATAATCACAATTTGCATAGAAGAAAGTTTTGAACCATTATTTCTGTATTGTGTAACGCCTTTGATATTAAGTTACTATTCAAAATTTGGAATACATATTTTAGTTTTTACATCTTCTTCTGTTTCAGGCTCCGGTCTCTCTCCTCCTGTCCTGACAGTCTTCCCTCCGTCCAGTGCTCAGCTCCAGTCCAACAAAGCCACTCTGCTCTGTCTGTTCAGCTTGCCCACTGAGTCTAAGGGTTTAGCAGAAGTGACCTGGTTGGGTGATGGGTGTCCAGTGAGCAGTGGGATCTCTACCAGCACCGCTGTTCACCAACCAGACCAGACTTTCCAAATCAGCAGCTACTTGTCCATTAAACCCTCCCAATGGCTCATGGACAAAGTCTTCACGTGTAAAGTGTCTTTGGGGTCCCAGAGCTCCAAGAAGAACATAACAATGTCTGACTGCCACGTGAATTAGAAGGGGACTAGATTTAGTAGCATGTTTTCTGCTAGTGCTGTTTTAGAAATGTGAAATTCTTACTTGTTTGTTTCAATTTGTGTTTTTGTTTTTTTCTTTTCTTTTCTTTTCTTTTCTTTTTTTTTTTTTTTTAAGTTAGCCAGTTAGCTTATATTGGCTAATACCTTGGCTTTCAGCTTTTCTCATTTGCATGGATTCCTTTAATAAAAGCATTTTATTTGGAAAAACCACTTTTCATTTGTTTGTTTGATGTGAAAACCAAATACAATTTAATTTGATTTATAATTCATGGCTTCTTTCATAATGACTTCATGATGATTTCTGTCTCTGAAAAACACTAATGACCTTTTTATTGACATTTTAAATTAGAGAACCCACACTCAACTGCAGCAACCACCTTGTATGTTATACTTAATTTTCTGCCCATGTTTTTGTGTCTCTGGATGAATTACCAATTAAATTAAACGATTATTTTAAAGAGGGCTTACACTTGACCAATTCATTTATATGGGGCTATAATTAAGAAGAGGAGGCCTGCAGGTGCATCCTGGTAAGGAAAAGGGGGAGGAGTAGAGAGGTGATGCTTCACTGATGGAGGATGACAATTCAGTTTCAGTTGCTGCTCATGTAATGTCATTTTACTGCAACTATTATTTAAAAATTTTGTTATGCCATATGCCAAAATGCCATATTAGACATTTTCAATTATGTGAGAAAAATAAAATTGCAAAGGAGAAAGGAATATCAATCTAGAAATATGTATATCTAATATATATTTCTGGCCGTTGTTAGAGAGAAACATTACATCAGAATCAGGTGTTGGTAAAGTTATTGCAGTCAAAATATCATTGGTTTAACTGTGGTGAATACAAATGAATACAGGCTTGTTTTGGGCACAATGCTTTTTATTGAACAATTCTTGAATAAATGCAACAAGATGCAAAGCTGATACAACACCTCCACCTAACTGTCACAACAGTTATTACGAGCATGCAGACACATCTTTTCTAACATGTAAAAACCTTGTAATGAGCAAACAGCACAAACAGTAAAGAAGCAGGTTGTAAATGCTCATTCTGCTTCTCTGCTATTGTTCAGTGGGACAGGCTGACTTGTTGATGTTTTTCTCTGAAGTCTGGGAGCCCAAAGACACTTTACATGTGTAAAGCTTCTCCATGTTCCAGTCTGACGTCTGGATGTCCAGATAGCTGCTGATTTGGAAAGTGTGGTCTGGTTGGTGAACAGCGGTGCTGGTAGAGACCCCACTGCTCACTGGACTCCCACCAACCAACCAGGTGACTTCTGCAAAAGGCACAGACTGACTGGACAGACAGAGCAGAGTGGCTTTGTTGGACTGGAGCTCAGCACTGGACGGAGGGAAGACTGTCAGGACAGGAGGAGAGAGACCGGAGCCTGAAAATACATGGACGACATTAATCACATGAGTAGGAATCACATTATTAATACACAGCATGACAGTAAGAGTGAAATGTTTTTAGTTAACAATATAATAATCAGACGAAAGTAAAGGATTTCAATGTAGAAAAATTTCACTTAAAATGTACGCACAGTTTATCATTTAGCTATTCATTTAGAATATGATGATTAAGAATGTAATATGTTTATGCTGGAAACATTCATTAAGTCACTGTTTGTTTTTGACAAATGACAATGGATTCTATTTTAGTCACAGTGAGAAATTACATCATATCAAGAGTCACAACGACCGGAGAAAGAAACATTTCAATCTGACAATTTATAATTTGGATCAAATCTAAAGCACCTTTAAATGAAACAACACAGATACAGTGATGTAGTGTTGATAAAGGAATGTAAAGATGATCTAACACAGCTTCAATTTGTCTCAAGATGTGAAAATGAACAAGTACAATCTTGTAAATGTTGCTCCTCTGTTAAAAATGACTCAACCATCAACAAACTGTGGAGACTTTGTAGGAAACATCTTAAATACTGTCATTATTGTTCAGTGAATAACAGATGTTTTTGACCATCAGCTTGGGATTTGATACCAGAAAACTGTGTCTTTGACAGTAAAAATAATGGCAGTATTTTAAGATGTTTCCTACAAAGTCTCCACAGTTTGTTGATGGTTGAGTCATTTTTTAACAGATGAGCAACATTTACAAGATTGTCTTGTTCATTTTCACATCTTGAGACAAATTGAAGCTGTGTTAGATCATCTTTACATTTCCTTTATCAACACTACATCACTGTATCTGTGTTGTTTCATTTTTAAAGGTGCTTTAGATTTGATCTCAAATCATAAATTGTCAGATTGGAATGTTTCTTTCTCCGGTCGTTGTGACTCTTGATATGAGATGTAATTCTCACTGTGACTAAAATAGAATTCCATTGTCATTTTGTCAAAAACAAACAGTGACTTAATGAATGTTTCCAGCATAAACATATTACATTTCTTAATCATCATATTCTAAATGAATAGCTAAATGATAAACTGTGCGTACATTTTAAAGTGAAGATTTCTACATGTTTTTTTCTACATTGAAATCCTTTACTTTCGTCTGCTGTTATTATATTGTTATATCTTTGTTTGTTGTCTTGTTGTTTGGTTTGTTGTTTTTTTTTTTTTGTTTTTTTTTTTTTTTTTTGTTGTTGTGTTTTTTTCTTTTTTTGTGTTTTTTTTTGTTGTTTTTTCATTTGTTTTTTTTTTTTGTGTTGTTTCTGTTGTTGGTGTTGTTTTTTTGTTTGTTGTTGTTGTTGGTTGGTCGTGTGTGTTTTTGTTGTTGTTGGGTGTGTTGTTGTTTGTGTGTGTTTGTGTGTGTTGTGTTGTGTTTGTGTTGGTGTGTGTTGTTTGTTGTTGGTGTGTGTTGTTGTTGGTTGTGTTGTTGTTGGTGTGTGTTGTTGTTGCAGTGTGTTGTTGTTGTTGCGTGTTGTGTTGTTTGTTCGTGTGTGTTGTTGTGTTCGGGTGTGTTTTGTTTTGTGGTGGTGTTGTTGTTGTGTGTGTTGTTTGTTGTTGGTGTGTTTTGTTGTTCGGTGTGTTTTGGTTGGTGTGTTGTGTTTTGGTGTTGTGTGTTGTTCGGTTGTTGTTGTTGTTGGTGTGTTGTTGTTGTGGTGTGTTTTGTGTTGGGTGGTGTTGTGTGTTGTGCGGGTTGGTTTTGTTGTTGGTTTGTTGTGTGTGGTGTTTTGGGTTGTGGTTTTTGTGTGGGTTGCGTGTTTGTTTTTGTGTGTTTTTTTTTGTGTGGTTGGTTGTTGGTGTTAAGAACAATGTCACTCTATCTTTTTCATTCTTGTTTCTTAGGATATTGTATTCCCTACTCATGTTTGATAATTTCTTCCTGGTGTATTTGTGCATTGCGTCCTTTCTGCTCTCTGCGCTTCCTTAAGCATTCTTCCCTCCTTCCTGATTCTTAGTCGTTCGGGCAGTTCGCGAACTAAAGGTCCGGTACTCTTCTCTTCTTTCCATTCATGTCTTTTCTTTTTCCATAATTGCGCGAGGCCTGTTTTTTTTTTTTTTAATTCCAATGTGTATGCATGTTTTCCTTCTGTACCATGCACCTTTCGTGTTGTGACGCACCATAACACAATTTCAAGATGCAGTGCATCTAGGTCTTGTACATGCGGTGGCATGACTGTTCATAGTCGTTTTGAGACAGTTGTGATGAGATGCTGTGTAGTCACATTTAAATGGGTTTCTGTTTTTCTCCATACTTGCTATTAATTAAGAACATCAACAATGTCAGGTGCCTTTTCCACTTACAATGGAGGATTCTTAATAAATCAGTTAATTTTATTCATTTACAACGCTTCTTCATTTACTGGTTTTTTCTTTTTTTCTCATTGACGTAATTTTTTACATTTTAGAGAAATAATTTTTCTTCGTTCTCTTGATAACTTTTTTACATTTATTTTTATTTTTTATGCGAGCTTTTTCACTTTTCATTTATTCAATAATTTTCAAGTAAAAATCATTTTTTCCAAAAGCGAATTCCTTTAGTGTCCCATTTTTTATTCACCACGATTAACCAATATATTTTTACTTCGATGACTTTACCAAACTTATTCTTATTTTAATGTTTGTGCTCTCTAAGAACTTCCGGTTGGGGGAAATATATCTTGGAATATAGTATAGTAGGTAGTTGGGTCTATATTTATATTCGTTCTCCGTTGTTCATTTTTTATTTTTTCTCACATAAATTTGAAAGATTTTCTAATATTTGCAGTTTTTCATATTCTCATAGCGAAAATTTTTAAATAATATGTTGTTCATTAAAGATTACAGTTGACATTAGTCATCAACGTGAGAACTTAATTTTCATCGCGTCCATCATTTATCATGGCACCTCTCTTACTTCATCCCCTTGTTCCTGTACTCAATTATTCAACTTCATTTCCCTCCGTGCTTCTTAATTAAATGGTCCTATAAATTATGTTTGTGAAGGGGGGGGGGGGGGCGGGGGGGGGGTTGGGTGGGTGGGTGGGTGGTGGGGTGGGTGGGGTGGGGGTTTAATCCTCTTTTAAAGATAGGATTGTGTGTTTAAATTGTTTGAGGTTGGTAATGCATGCCAGTAGTATCGAGCAGAATTATGGACAGTTTTTCATAAAATTGAGATTGATTCATGACTGATTGACAAGGGTTGGGTGTTTGCTGTGAGGTTGTGCATTGTTTAGTGTTTTGTTTCTCTAATTTAAAGTGTCAATAAGAAGAGGGTTCTTATTGGTGGGTGTGTTGTTTCATAGTGAGCATGAAACTTTGGCATGCACGTTTTTAAGTCATTATGAAGGAGTTACAGTTCCATGTAATTATGAGAAGTTCAATATGTGAAGTTTAGTGTTGTGTGGTTTTCACATCAAGCTTAAACTTTGAAACTTTTGATACATGTGAGGTGTGCGTGGTTTTTTCCAAAATAAAATGCTTTTATTAAAGTGATCCATGTCAAATGGAGTAAAATGCTGAAAGCCATAGGTATGAAGCCAATATAAGCTAACTGGCTAACTTAAAGAGAAAAAGAAAAAGAATAGAAAAGAATGAAGAAAGAAAAAAAAAGGACAGTCAAATTTGAAGACGAAGCAAGTTAGGCGGTTAGTTTCGCCTATTTCACGGTGAGGAAGAGCGAGGGGCTAGATGCTAGCCAAAACATGGTCTCTGGAAAGCTCTAGGTCCGCGGCGTTTCTAATTCATCGTGGGCAGTCAGACATTGTTATGTATCTTCTTTATGGAGCTCGGTGACCCCAAAGCGACACCTTATAGCACTGAAAAGACTTTGTCCATGACCGGCCATTAGGGAATGGGTGTTTAATGGAAGCAGAGATAGCCTGCCTGATATTGGAAAGTCTAGGTACTGTGTTGGTGAACAGCGGTCTGGTGTCCTACTGCTCTAAACTTCGTCACGCGCACTCATCACCAACCCACGGTTCACTTATGCTAACTCAACTCCCTAGGACTCGAGGTAGGGTCAAGACTGTAACATGACAGTGGAGCCAGAGTGGCTTGTTGGACTGGTAGCTGAAGCACTGGACGGGACTGGGAAACTGTTCAGGACAGGAGGAAAGACCGGATGCCTAATATCAGAAGAAGATTCAGAAACTAAATATATGTATTCCAAATTTGTGAATAGTAACCTTATATAAATAGGCGGTTACACAATACGAGACAATCAAGTGGCTTCAAAATACTGTTCTTCTAGATGCAAATTGTGGAATTATAAGATATCAGTTGGAATATCAAAAATACATATTATCAAAAGCGCAGAGGATTAAATGAATAAAAATATTGGTCATATTGTATAGGAAGTACTATTTTCCAGTGCTACATGAAATGAATAGAAGTTTATCAAATACTATTTGGTTTGATTTTGTAGCTAAAGCTTATATTATTAGGTAAAGAATTTAAAGTTTAAGAAATATAATATAATTTAAATTAAGCAATGACACAGTTCATAAATGATCTATGTCGTAATTAAGTAAACAAGCTTCATAGTTGG